CCTCTGTTTGTCTCAGTGTTTAAAAAGGGTTACTCAAAGAGTAACCTGGAGGTTTAAAATAGATGACTTAAAAAAATAATCTAAGCTCCAAACTGAAGACACTTTCTCTTTAGTAATAAAATACGAAGAAATAAAATTTTGAGTACTTTTAAAAGTTTGTAGATTTTTGACTCAGTGAATTAACTTGTGAGAATTTATTCAAAGAAAAAGATCAGAGAGCCATTAATTTAATTATTTAGCAATTATCAAGAACTTGCTATATGCAGAAATTATTCCTATGAAGGGTGTATAGATTTTTATAGTATAAACAAGTTAGTTTAAAAAAAAACTAAATACCCAACAATTAAGATTGTTTTCAAAAATCCAGTAGTTATTATTACCAAATAAAGTTTATATATTTATATAATTTAACAACCTAAGAAAATGTCCGTTATAGAGTATGCATCAGGCCCTGACCCTGAGCACAGCAATGGATAAACTGAACTTGAGGACACACCCTGTCATTCACTCAGGACAAAAATTCGAGGTTACCCTTGGCTACTACATAGTGAATGCAAAGTCAGCCTGCACTTTATGAGATCCTATCTCAGAAAAAAAGAAATAAAACTTTAAAACTTCTATACAAACTATTCAAAAGAAAATTAAAAATAAAGATATGAGAGCTTACATTAGGCTCTGATGAAATCCATAAAGGACATAGCTTCAACAATTTATGGTCCTCCCCCAAATTCCTGGGACATCTAGAAGACATGGATAAATGCCTAGAGCTATATAAGCTACAAAAATTAAAGTAAAAAGATATAAGTAAGAAAAATAGATCCTGGAAAGCAATGAGATTAAAGCAGTCTAAAAACTTTCCAAAAGAAGCCAGATAGATTCCACAAATAACCAGATAGATTCACTGCCATCTCTACAAAACTCTTAAAAAATACCTAACACCAACACTATTGTCTGTTCCTCACAACAAAAGGGAACAGACACTATGAAACTCACTCTACTAAACCAGTATTAATCTAATACCAAGTCCAGATAAGAATATGATAACAGAAAAGAAAACCATATACCAATTCCTCTGTAAAAATTCTCAATAAAATTCTTGCAAATTAAATCCATAGGACACAAAGAAAATCATTCACCATGACCAAGCTGGTTTCATCCCAGGGACACATAGTTGATTCAACATACGAAAACTGGTATTTAATATAACTACATATGCACGTAATGACAAAATAATGATTAGCTTAATAAAAGCAGAAAAGTTTTTTTTTTTTTTTCCACAAAGTTCAACATCCCTTCCTGATAAATTCTGCAGACAGGATAAAAGGGTAGACCTTAGAATGAATAATAATAATGATGATGATGATGATGATGAGGGCCAAGCATGTTGCATGTATTTGTAATCCCAATAGTGGAGAGGCAGATCCCTGGCGTTCACTGGCCATCTAGCCTAGCCTACTTACTGAGTAAGCTCCAGACCTATAAGAAACTCTGTCTCAAAAAAAAGAAAAAAAAAAGAAAAACAGTGAAGAAGGTAAAGCATCTGAAGAAGGGCACACTGAAGGTTATCCTCTGGCCTTCACATGCATACACACCTGAACACCACATCACACCACACAAACACACACACAGAGAGAGAGAGAGAGAGAGAGAGAGAGCGCCCAGAGAAACTAGGAATATAAGAAATGTATCTCAACACAACAAAAGCTACACACTTATGGCAAACATTGTTCTAATTAGGGAATAACTTAAAGCATTTCCTTTAAAATTAGGAATAAGGTTAAGGTATCCACTCTTACTGTTCCTACTCAATATACTGTTTGCAGTTCTGGCTAGGCCAATAAAACAAGAGAGAAATAAAAGGGATACAAATAGAAGGAGAAGAAATCAAAGTATACGTATTTGCCAAAGATATGATCCTATATTTTAAAGACTCAAGCAGAAAATTGTTAGATGTGATAAATACTCTCAACACAGTAGCGGAATATAAAATCAACACACAAAAATAAGTGCCTTTCTACATACCAGTAGCTAACTTGACAAGAAATCAGTAAGAAAAGATCCCATTCCTAATAGCTTCAAGAGCATGGTGGGACACAACTTTAATCCTGGCATTTGGGAGGTAAAGGCAGGTAGATCTCTGTGATTCAAGGCTGCCTGGTCTACATAGTGAGTTTCAGGTCATTTAGAGTTACACAGCAAGACGTCATTTCGAACAAACAAATAAGACAAAAAATGATAGCTTAAAAAATAAAATAAAATGCCTTGGAATCAACCTAACCAAAGTGGTAAAAGACTTCTACAGTGAAAACTTTAAAACACTTAAGAAATGAAGTGTTTTAATGAAGATTAAAAAAAAAAAAAAAAAAAAAAGCAAAAACAAAAACCAAGAAAGTCTTGTTCTCTTGAATTAGCAGAATTAATACTGTGAAAATAGATATATTACCAAAAATACCTACAGAATCAATGCAATGCCAGCTCAATTTTCAGTGACATTCTTCACAAAACTAGGATGATGTTAGTTTATAATATTAATTTGAAGTGTAATATTAATTTCAATGTAGCATCCCTGGGAAGAAGTCTTCAGGAGTTATATAGATCAGATTGGTCTGTGGACTTGGCTATGGTTGGAATTGTCTTCATTGCTGGGTAAAGACACACCCTGTGTTTTAATTGAAATAGGAAGACCCAGCCAACATGTAGGCAGCACAACTGTACGATTTTGGTCACTGAACTACGTAAGTAAGAGTAGAGAGAGTTATGGGTCCTGGTATGAGTGCATTTACCCCTCTCTGCTCTTTACTGTGGATGTGATATGACCAGTTGTTTTAAGTTCCTGCCTCCTTGACTTCCTTGCTATGATGAAGGATAGCCTGAAATTGTGACTTAAAATAAACCTTTCTCTCCTAAGTTGTTTCCTGTCAGGGTATTTTATCACAGCAACAGAAAAGAAACTATGAGGTAGAATGACAAAAGATCTTGAATAACCAAAGAAAATTATACTGTAAAACCATAGTAACAAAAACTGTATGATACTGGCACAGAAATACATAGACCAACATAGAGAACTCCAAATTAAACCTATACAGTTATAGAGAAAGAAAAAAAAAAGCCTCTTCAAATGATGCTGGCATAACGGGACATCTACCTGCAAGAGAACTAGATCCGTATCTTTTGCCCCATACCAGGCTAATGAGATGACTTAATGGGTAAAGGCACTTGTTCAGCCTGATAACCTGCATTCCATTCTACAACCCGCAAAGCAGAAGAACTGACTCCTGAAAGATGTCCTCTGATTGCCACACATGTACTATGCCACTGCAAGCATGCCTGTACACACACATGCACATATACTGAATAAATTGTAATAAAAACCAATGCAAAGGTAGGTGCAGTGGGGCATACCTTTAATCCCAGCACTTTGAGGGGCAGAGTCATGCAGATCTGTGAGTTGGAAGCCAGCCTGGTCTACATAGTGTGCTTCAGGACAGCCAGAGCTACATAGTAAAAGCCTGTCTCAATAAGGAAAAAAAAAAAAAAAAAACGATACAAAATGAATCAGACTTAAATATACCAACCTAAAATCTTGAAACCACTTAGGAAGTACACAGACAAACTCTTGAAGACCTAGGTATAGACAAATTTGCCCAAAGAGCATTCCAGCAGCATGGAAGAGTTGACTATGGGATTACATAAAACTAAACAGCTTCTGCACAACACAGGAAGCAGTCAGCAAAGAAGACAAAGCATACAGAGGAGGAGAAAATATTTACCATCTATACATCTGATGGGATTAATTTCTAAAATCGATAAAGAGCCTCAAAAATTAAATATTATTAAAACAAACTACTCACTCAATACATAGCACAATGAACTATCTAAGCACACAGTTCTCAGAAGAAGATATACATATGAGCACTAAATATTTGAAAAACACGTTCAATATCTTCAGCCATCAGGGAAATTCCATCTTGCCCAAGTCAGCATGGTTAACATCAAAACAACAAATGTTAGCAGAGACGTGAGGAAAGAACCTTAGATACAGTCAGCGGTAAGGTAGAGTTGGGCAACTACTATGCAAGTCAGCGTGAGGTTCCCAAAGCTACCACTCTGCTACTGCATATATGTCTAAAAGCCTCCAAGTCAAAACGCCAAAGAGACACTTGCACGTCCATGTTTCCTGCCATACTATTCACAACAGCTAAGAAATAGAACAAGTGTAAATGTCCACCAATCCATGCACAGATAAAGAAAATGCAGACCACACATACAATAAAAATTTATTCAACCACAAAGAAAAATGAAATCATAATATCTATACAAAAATGAATGCAACTGGAGATCACATTAATCAAAATAAGTCAGACTCAAAAAGACAAGTATGTTCTCTCTTATGAAGATTCTAAATTTAAATTTGTGTGCGTGTTTGCATGTAGGGAGGTCATGAAAGTTGAAGGGGAAGATAAGAGGAGGGGAAGAGACATTTAAAGTGTAAGGGAAAAGAGTAACAGTATACATGCAACATGAAAGCAAGACACGCCATCTGGAAGTGAAAAGGGACGAGCAAATGGAAGACAGAGGGATGGGAAAGAAGAGTGGGGGAGGAGATGAACAGAGAAAACAGTAATGATGTATGAGTACAAACTGTCACAGTGAAACCCATTACTCTGTATGCCAATTTAAAATGAAAATAAAAACAGAGCTAGTGAGCCAGCTCAATGGTTGAAGGTACTAGTCCTGCAAGCCCGGCAATCTGAGTTCAACTCCAGAACGCATATGAAAGTGGAAGAAGGAACACACACCACCACCACCATCATTAGCATCAGCAGCAGAAGTTTTTAATTTAAAATAAAAATTAAAAACCTAAGAAACCATTAAAACAAAAAGCATTTTAGTACCATCATAGGTTACACCTGGGAAGTGGAATTATTACTAACTTTTACTTTATATTTTTTTACTTTCTAGATTAAAAAAAAAAAATTAAACTCTAAAAACATCCTTACCAGGATTCCATCCACAGATGAAATTTTCTCCCAAGTTAACCAAGCTCTTTCTCTGACATGATCGGATATCTTTAACTTCTGGCATAATGCAGTAAATTCAGGTTCTTCAATTTCTTCAAACTCAAGCCTACCAATTGAAACAGTTACAAAATAGATACACATGAATCAAACCGAGTAAGTAAATACTTGTTTCTATAGTTTTCACATATCAGCACTGTTTTGAAAGAGACCATCTCTAAGTTCTTTAAGGTCTTATTTTATCTCTGAGAAACATTATGCACCATTTAAACATATGCTTATCTTTTTCATGGTTTCCAAAATAAGAATACCACAAAGTGAAAGACAGCGGCTGGCATGGTGAACCAAATATACTCCAGAGCTTTGTGAAAGAAACTGAGTCCAATAGCTAAAGCACTCTGAGATGGGACAATTGTAAAAGAAAAAAAAAAAAAAAAAAAAAAAGGAACCACATCACAGTCAATTCAGTTCCAGTGACCATGGCAATCTGTAACCTGTACTTACTGGGTCATATATTCTCTCTTCCTTCTTGTGTGTCTTAGTGATGACTGACTTGATAGAAACTATTGCATCACATAGTTCTATCTCTTTGACCTTTCTTAACCATAATCTTTTAATTCACAGCTAATTATTTTCAGTGTGTATTTGAAATATAATAAGACACGATGGAGACTTAACTCTTGAGAAATTACTGTGATCCTACACAAAACACCTTTTGTGTGGTTTTATTGGATTCCCACATCAGCCATACTTGGCAAGTATCCCCATTCACGTTTTACACGTCTACCACATCAGAGAAACTAAAGCAGTCTCTAAAAGCATAGCAAGTGAGAAGTAACCAGGCTATAAACCCTGTAGTCTAACTCCCTCATCCATGCCCCTGACCACTTTTTCTAGCTGAGTGACTCCTCCTTCAAAGCATAATTCTGCATATTTCATTAATGACAGTGCCTTGCGGTTCCCTAGTCTCAGTTTCCATTCCATCTACAGTACTTAGGACAGAGATAATATAAAAGAAATACATCTCAACTGTAAAAGAAGACCATTGGTGGAAGTGCAGATGAACTGGGCTGCACCCAGCCCTTAGCCATATTTTCTAAGCTTCAGGCTACGGCAGTCCTCTTACCCTTGCTAAGAACAGTCATGCGCTACATGACATTTCAGTCAACAGGGCAGTTTACAACATGGTCCTAGAAGGTTATAACGGAGCAGAAACTCATTTAGAGGACATCTTAAGCAGTGTAACACTGTAGCACAATGTATTTGCTGCCTGTGCATTTACGGGGATGCTGCTGTCAGCAAGCCTGCAACACTGCCACTGTAGGAAATGACAGCATATACAACTATGAGCAGCACACAATACCTAAAACGATTGTTTCTTACCATGCGAGAGCTTTATCACTATTTTACAGCATATTTCTATTATTAAAAGATAAAATTTACTGCATAACACTATGCTTTGCTACACTGGCAGCAGCCTTGTATTTGCAGTGTTTACCACCTCTCTTGGCTGCAGCAAGATGGCACAATGACTGATCTATATACCATCGATGTTTGCTTAAGTGCACTCTGCAATGATTGCACAAAATTCATTTAATGGCACAGTTCAGAGGACGAAGCAAATCCCTACGGTGAAGCACACGTGACTGTAGGTAATTCAGAGATCAACTGGAAATGCTTATGAGAACCTCTGTGGCAATGAGTAACCAACTCTATATCCTTGATAGTTTTAACTTACAGGAGAGTTTTCAGAGTTCCCTGAAGGTAAAAGTTTTATATAAAAGTGAAAGAAACTGGATCCTTCTTTCCCCAGTCAATGACCAGAACTTCAATGTGTATATTTACTTTACAATAATAAAGAAGAGTTCCAAAGCTGTGTAGATGGCATGGAATCTTTTAGAATACATGTTTATGCTCTTTCTAAGGGGAAACTTCCACACACGGGATACATCAGAGTTTAATTAGAAACGAAAGCAAACTCTACCCTGAAACAGTCTCCAAACAGTTTGAATTCTGTATTTATTTTCTAATGAGTAAGATTTTTTTATTTGATCCGTAAGAAAATCCACTTAATGCACACTTACACAGACCATTTCCAAAACTATTTCAGTCTGTTAGGATTTGACCTGAAGTCTGCTAAAAGTCTTGGACACACAAAGAACCTCGATGCTCAGCAAGGAGAAGGGAGCTTGGTAGCCCAGCAGGGACTGTATGCCCACAACCCCAGCACTGGGGATGATGAGGCAGGAGAATAGAGAGCTCAAGGCTCTGGGGTACAGAGGCAGAGTACTGAAAAAAAAGTCTGGGACTTCATAGGCTGGAAATGAGTGAGAAGACGGTGAGGGATAAAACCAGTTCCCATTCTGCAATGGATGTATAGTCTCAAAATAAAACTAGTGCCGACAATAACAACCATCGTATTGTTTCAATTTCTGTTCAATTGTTTCTATTACCTAATTTATGAAGTAGCGCAGTCAAGAAAAATAAAACGTTGAAATACAATAAATATCTTTCCATCGTTCCTATTGGATGCACATGTAGTTAAGTTTGGATTCCATTTAATAAATGGAGAGAAAAGTTCTTTGGTATACAGTACCAAAAACAACACCAAAAGGACAGGGCGGGGGGAGGGTTGGTGGATGGGACACGAGGGTCCTTGTAGGCTCAAAGGCAAAAAGACAAGAATTAATGAAGCAGGCTGCGGCCAATCAGCGCGCCATAAGAGTCCTACCCTGAAAAGAAAAGGGGAGCAAAGTTTAGAAACTTTTAAGCCCTTGCACTTAAACGTCTCATCAAACTTTTGCCCACATACCAGTTCTTCTAAGAGTTATGCTCCACCAGTCTCCACAGATGGCTTTAAATCCCCAAGGCCTCGAAGCATTGTTCTAAAGAAACCCCCCCACAAAGCCCGGGAGCTGAGGACCCCTTGAGCAATTGACACCCACGACCCCGCGCTTCGCCTCCAAGGCTTTTTCTTGGCCTCTCCCAGGACCGGGCTGCCAATGCAGCGCAGGACCAGAGGAAAAGGCTCCCAACTGTTGCATGGCAGGACTGCAAAAGAGAAAGTCAACCGACCCCGGGGCGGGGGCGGGGGGTGGGGGTGGGAGGGCTTCGGGCTCTCCTTGGAATTGAAAAAGCAAGCAAGCAAGCAAACACCGATCGGCTTTTTTTTTTCCCCCCCGCGGGGGGGAGCATATTTATTTCAATGTTTCTTGCGTCTGTCGGGGGCTCGCCAAGCCCCGCCGGCTCCGCGCCTGGGCGTCGCTGGAGCAGAGCCTGCACCTGTCACTTCGCTCGGCAGCAGGAGCCCCACCCGCCCGACACCTGTCAAGCCGCAGCCCAGACCCCTCCGGGATGCCCTTCCCGTCGCCCGCGAGCCCCGGCGATCCCTGTCACGGCGCCGCCGCCGCCCGGTGCAGCGAGGGGACCGAGGGCATCCCGGGGACGCCGGGGCGCCGCTCCTCCCGCCCAGCCCGGCCCCGCCGAGATGCGCCCCGCATCCCCGCGCCCTTCCGTCCCCTCCCCTCCCACCCGCGGCCGCCGCGCTCCTCACCTGGCCAGGGGCAGCTCTTCGGGGCTGCTGTCCTGCTCGGGGTCGTCGTCCCGAGGCGGCGGCGGCGGCGGCGGCGGGGGCTCGGCGGCGGCCGGCGCGGCTCTGCGCGGGGCTTTGGGCGGCATGACGCGCTGCGCGGGCCGGCGCGAGCGGGCGAGGGAGGCGCGC